CACGATCACGCCGCCGAAGACGCCTTGGTCGTAGCTTTTGGGGGGTGGGATGTTAGCCTTTGATCTTGGGTGTGATTGGACGGTGTTTGGGACGGTGAGTGGCGGGGAGGAGGGGGATGGGGGTTTCAATGCGTACCCGAAGAGTGTCATGTCTGTTGCGCAGGCGACCGTCACCCAGAAGGTGAGCCAGCCGCCCTTGAGGCCGAAGTAACCCATGATGATTGATGGGTTTGGTGATGAGTATGAGTGTCGAGAAACAGGATCGAGAGGACGTAAGTAGACTCGATTTTCGGAAGACGGAGATGTGAGTCGATGGTGATCACAAGGTACCGAGTATCGCAGACCCTGAACAGACCGATGCCTCCATCACGAGAAGGGAGGGCGGCGTTACACAGATCTATATAGCCAAGAGATCTTCGCGCATCAATCTATCTACCCGCTCGGAGCCATTCCGTATCCGCAGCCGCACTTGCACCGGCCGGCGTAAGCCCCGGACACGCCGCTCAATCTGTCGCACATTCTCGCCCATGATGGGGGTACAAGTGTGGATAACAGACGATGTCATCGTCATGGTGCGGCGGCGGTGATGGGGGTACGTAGCCGGCGTACGTGCGTCTGGTACCTCGCCTCGCTCCAGACCTGCCTGCTGGTTTTGGCGCTCATTAGGACGGGCCGAATCAGGTGTGGCCATGCTGGATCTGGGGTGCAGGTTGCCGGGTTCAGGGGAGTGGAGGGCCGTGATGACAGCGATTCGGTTTTGAATACCGGGCCCTTCTCTTTTTTCTTTCTTTTAATTCTTTTCTCTCCATTTTACACCTTTCTGAAATACCGGTTTTTTTTCGTTTGGTGCTCTAGAGAGGGCACTCTTCCTAATAAGCTTCAGTGTATCGATCGACGTCCTGTCATTTGACCTCTCTGATGACAGTGATTGAACGGGTGCAAGGGTGCGAACCGTAGGGGTTTAGTTGAGAGCAGGGGTGGGCGGGCTAGCACGCTGGCATGTTGCATGGCTGGAGTTAGCTGAAGTGTCAGGGCGGTGTTGTCACTTGGAGCGTTGTAGTGTTCGGTCTGCTCCCCGCATAGATGATCGCCGCGACCCGGGCGGGAAACCAAGGCAAGGCGACGAGTGAAAGAGTCCGCAGCAGCGAGAAAACACAGCGACAAACGTCGTCAATTCCGTCGTGGGAATCCACTCTGGTGCCGGCTTCCTTGGTCGTGAATGGCGGAACTAGCGCGCGATGACGTCGTGTTGGCCCCGCCGCGGCTCTGAAACGGGTGCCGGGGCCATCGTTGTCGTCGAAGCTTAATCCAGGCCCCGCGATGGCGACTGGCTCTTTGTCCTTTGTCACATTCTGGCGTGGCGTTGGGGAGCACTTAGTCAGGCTGTCAGATACGTAGGTTGCCCACATCTTTGCATTGTTCCCGTGGGGGGAGACAACTGCGTCTGTCGGTGGGTAAACGGGGAAGGGACAGAAAAACCACCTGGTCGGTCCGAATGGGCATCTCGAAGTTGATGCGGGGACTCCACGTTGCTGTCAGTCTGATGTCGTTCGGTTTTGGACGACGTTTTGGAAAAGGGAGGAGGACCACAGGTGTTGTCATTGGTTTGCTGGAGTGCGGCTCTGTCGTGTAGGGGACATGGCTGCTGCCTCGGTCGTTGGCTCGGAGAGTCTCCGGGGTCTCGGACCTTTGTTGAGCTCGTCAGCCCGCAGCTCGTCAATTCGATTCGGATGAGGGATTCAACAACAACACGATGGACGTCGAGGAGTCCGGCGGCTGACTTTGAACATGTACATGTTTCATTCAAAAGTGAAAGCGGCTAAAATTGTGAGCAGAGGAGAATAATTATCCGAACCCGCAGCCCGCGCCAAACTCCTTGTCCCCGAGACAAATTCTTCAAATGGGCCGTAACCGGCGCCTCTCAGATTGACAGAAACTCCTCCACCGACTCCGCAGGTCCGGCGAAGCTCACGTACCCGTCTGGTCTGACGACCACCAGGCCCGCCCCCTTTTCGAAGCCGTAGCGCCTGTGAAGCACGCCGTCCCTGTCTCTAAATCCTCCCGCGCCGATCGTCTGGCCGCCAAAGACCTTGACAACCCCGCGCTCCTTGTATCGCTTATCGGCGAGGATCTTCTCCTCTGCCTGCCTCACTTCCTCCTCGTCTCCAAGCATGCCAGAGAAGAGCATGATGGTGTGCTCCTTGTTGCTGGTCAACTCGAGCAGCCATTTGCCCTTCTCACCCCTCTCGTCTAGGAGCTCGCCGTCCGGGGCTCTCCAGCCGCCCTTGACTGGGCCCTCGAAACCGGTCGCGGTGTGGACGATGGAGCTGTTGCGGTATTTGATGCCCATCTGGGAGATGAAGGTGAATGCACGGAGACGGCGCGCCTTGTCGCCCCAGATGTACGGCACAATCCAGGGCATCAGCTTGTTGCGGATGTATGTGTAGATGAAGTTCTGCGATGCGACAGCGTTGAACATCCGGTCGGTGCTATGCAACAGGCGGCTGCCGATCGGGTGTCTCTCCTCCTGGTACGTGTCCAGGAACGAGTCGTCCTTCTCTCCACGCAGAACGGCGCTCATCTTCCAGCCAAGGTTGATGGCGTCCTGGATACCGGTGTTCATACCCTGCCCTCCGGCGGGCGAGTGAATATGCGCCGCGTCGCCGGCCACGAAGATGCGTCCGTCGCGGTAATTGTTCACGCCTCGACAGTTCCAGCGGAAATGCGTCAGCCAGATCGGGTCGGTGACCTCCCACGTCCCCCCGGCCAACTCCTCAATGAACTCCTTGATCTCCTGCACTGTCGGGTTGCCAGTGTATTTGCTGTATGAAGATCTCTCTCCGACAATGCGGACCACGCCGTCCTTCAGAGGGAAGATGACCATGATGCGCCCGCCAAGGTACATCGACACCCTCTCGGTATCATACGGGCCTCCAAGCTTGATGTCGGCGAGGATGAACGTCTGCGGGTACTGGGCACCTTCAAAGGTAAGGTCGGTACTCTTGCGTACGGCGCTGTGCGCGCCGTCGCAGCCGACGATGTACTTGGCCTTGAGGACCTCCTTCTCGCTGCCCTTGACGAGCGTGACCGTGGTGGAGTCGGCGTCCTGCTCGATGTCCTCCGCTGTGATGCCCCGCTCAACCTTGCCGCCGTAGTCTTCCAGCTGCCGCGTCAGCGCCGCCTCGGTGTCGCCTTGCGGGATCCATATCGGCAGCGGGAACTGGGTGTCGTCGAAGCCGAGGTCGTCAAACGTGCCGGTGATGAGGTGCTTCTGGTTACAGTGGATGTTGACGCCGGGGCCCTGGACGCCGTTCGCCAGCATTTCCTTGGCGACGGTGGGATGGCGGTTGAGGAGCTCTTGCGTGCGGCATTGCACGGCCAGGGCACGGGATTTGTCCGAGGGAGCTTCGAGTTTGTCGATGATGCGGAAGGGGATTTTTTGGACGGAGAGCTCGAGGGCGAGGGTCAGGCCCGTTGGACCTGCGCCGACGATGAGTACGTCTGTTGTCGACATGTCTGTCATAATGGCTGATTCTGTTGATTGGTGTTTTGCCTTCTTAATGGGCTTGTGAACTGGTGATGGGCCACTTTCTCAGATTTGTTGGGGAATGAGAGGCAGCGCTGGACTTTAAATCCAGTCTCCTCGGACCAGCGCTCCATGCTGTCGTAACGAAGAGACTCGATACGCTTCAGAGTTTCCATGCCCGACATCAGCTGAACAAGCCCATCGGGGCCTCGCCATCACAAGCTCCGTGCTTACTTCGCGGGCGGGCAGGGATTGACGAAGATGGACGGGTAGCGCTGGGCTGCCACGCTGCTCCCGGCGGTCGGAGTAGCTTTCAGCGGGCGGGAGTGTAAGACGGCGCGGACAGGGATGGGCCGACGACGAGAGAATGGTAGGGCTGCCACGCTCACGCGAGGAACGCCTCAGTGAGTTGTCGGGCTGCCAGCGAGCGCTGAAGGAAGGGCGCCGGGGCCAACTTGGGCGTGAGCGAAGGTGCGGCTGAAGGGCTCTGCATGGTTCCGGCGGCATAAATGTTACTTTTGGGGATGAAGAAGCGTTCCGGGCCTTGTTCGTTGGCAAGTTAATGCATGTTGGTTGCTGAAGATTGGGGCTGGGTTGGGGGATTTGGAGACGGAGGCGCGGTGGTCGGCATCGGTGGCTGGTGTGGCGCATACAGTCCGTTGCGTTGACAGCGTCCGCCCCTAACTTTGACCCGGAAGGAAAATTTTCCGCTAGCCCAAAACCCCCTAAATTACCCCAAATTTCACACCTTAATAGCTCTATACGTACGTAATACGCGAGAATAAAAAATATATTAATCGATAGCCCTCGATTAAGTGATTCTTACGATATATTTTTTATTCTTACGTATTATATACGTATAGAGTTATTAAAGTGTGAAGTTAAAGCTGATTTTAAGGGGTTTTAAGCTAGTGGAAAATTTTCGTAACACTAAAAAAAAAAACCCCGAAACTCCGCTTAAAAAACCCCTTAAAATCAGCTTTAACTTCACACTTTAATAACTCTATACGTATATAATACGTAAGAATAAAAAATATATCGTAAGAATCACTTAATCGAGGGCTATCGATTAATATATTTTTTATTCTCGCGTATTACGTACGTATAGAGCTATTAAGGTGTGAAACTTGGGGTAATTTAGGGGGTTTTGGGCTAGCGGAAAATTTTCCTTCCGGGTCAAAGTTAGGGGCGGACGCTGTCAATGCAACGGACTGTAGCACGTGGAAGATCGGGGGTCGGCGCTTAGGAATACCGACCTCCGACGTATCCCGTCTTTTGTGTGCAAGACAGCAGACATCACCTGGACTTTGGACGAATATTTTTCGGGGACTTTTATTATGATTTATCAATATTGCGTAGGAATCGGTAAGATACGGCGGATTAGATAGATAGAGGAACATCGCGACAGAGGACCATTCTCGGATTAGCAGTCTGATGAGAGGAGAGTTGAATCTATCTGACGTGCGTAGTTGGCCTAGAGCACCTCCGCAGCCAAGACGGTCTCTTCACGAGGCTTCTTCTCCTCCGAATTCTCGTCAGGCTTGTTCGATTCGCCGGGCTTGCTCTCCTCAAGTTGCCTCTTCTCCTCAAGGCGCTTGTTCTCCAAGTACAAGGAGTATTGGCTGACAGTACCCTTGGCATCCACTTTCATATCAGCAGGCGGACTTCCACGATACGTATATGTTGGATTATCGACGAATGGGCCGAACGTGATAGCCAACCACCGATACAGGAAAAGAGGCGTGTCACGGCCGAGGTTTTGGCCTTCCCACGACGGGGGAATCCATCCAAAGAAAGGCGCGAGCCTGTTCATGCTGAATCGTATGAACGGATGAGGCTTCTTCGCGAAGTAGAGATAGGCCTTGTATGGATCCCGTCCTAAAGTTGTCACCTTGGATCTTCAGTATGAGACCTGGACGATTCGTGGCTGTTCGAGTGTGGTCTGGCCGTTTTTCAATGAAATAATCATGTTTGATGGGTGAAAATTGCCGTGGTTCACGTCGGCGAATTCCTCCGACATGAGTCCATCCATGAGCTTTTCCATGATGCTGAGACGAGTGTCTTCGTCAGCTGAGATGTAGGTCGGCGGCTCCTGTGGGTTGGACCAACTGGATCGGAAGCGATCCCGAAAGGGCCCGCTTGGCTGGAAAAGGTCACTCAGACACCGTCCCTCAACATACTCTAAGGCCAGCGCAACCACATGCCGAACTTTTCCCGCGTACTTAGGATCGGTGCTGGTAGCAGAAACGGTTCAGCATCCGTGATATTGAGGAGCCAGGTGGGGGAAGCCTGTCAAACCTGCTTTGAAGAGATGAGAGTAGGCGCCGACTTCGTTGCTCTGAGCAAAGCCCGCTCGGACGGCAACCTTGAAGCAGCACTCGGAAAGATCAACCTTCAGGGGCCAGAACAAAGGATCGTAAAGCTTCAAGAACACAAGCTGTCCAAGCACAAGGGCTTTGTTCTCGTTGTCGTCAGAAGAGGCTGAGGCCGTCTGGACCACCTTGCACAAGACTTTCTGGGGCCCGGCAGTGTATTGAGCACCATATCCACCATCAACCATGTCGAGGATCTCTAAATGCACCTGGCTGCTTTTATCGTTCTGCTTTGTCTCGTCGAAGTCGAGGGGACCGTTGGACTCAGAGAAGACCAGTTGCGTACGTGAAAAGCTTCTCTCCTCATCTGTAGGAGTCATTTGTTTCGACGTCAAATTTGGCGGATCCGGGTAAAAAGACGAGCCGAAGGGTGCAGGCGACTTATGCGGCGTCAGAATGAGGCGCTTGCCAGAGTGATACAGCTCTGCATGATCCTCGTAGACATCCCAATCATTGTCGAAAGCCATGATTTGGGGTGGTGTAAAGTTGCTTTCGCTTGTTAATCCGTTTGGTTGACAGAGCTGCTTGGAGGTTGAAGATAGTTGAAATTCAGTGTGGAGTGAAAGGTGAGAACAGAATATGAGCATTGCTGCGTATTAGAGGTGCCAAAGAGGTAAAGTGGGGAAAAGAAAAAGCCTATTTTATTCGTGACTGGACAGTCAAGGTTGGCCATTCCGGGTCTCAGCGGGCGATGTAGTGGCCCACAGGACTCAAAGCCTGGAGCGACGAAGACGAGGCTAAATGATAGTCTCAATCTCACTCCTCAGCATTATCACTATTTTCTGCCTTACAACGCTGGCGCCGACGACAGAGACGAGGACAGAGACGATATGATAGCAGAAGCGACGGCGTCGACTACAAAATGAGGTGCGGATAAGCAAGTCGTCAGAAACAGTAGCCGCTTCCAGCTCAGGAACAATAGAAGCCTTGTGAAAATACCAAGGAAATCCAATTGGCAAGCATACAGACCCAACCTACGAAACAACTATTCTGACATGATGCAGCCCTCGTGAGATCTCTCCGCCCCCTTCCCCGACCACCAAAACCTTCACAACAGCTGGAATCCATCCGGTTCAAGACATGGTCGACATATCTCTTTGTGCATGTTGCAGCAAAGAATTTCCGGTTGCTTGCCGATGCCTTGTGTGAACCAACCGATTCCGCATTGGTTCATCCCTGAGTTGGCCTGGTTTAGATATCAGCTTTTTGCACAACATGAGCTTCATGCGAAGGCGAGTAACTTACCGGCGAGAAACACCTTGATCAACGTCCTCTGAAGCCACTGAAGTTTCCTGAGCGGGGTCGATGGCCAGGTTCTCGAAAGCCCTAGACAGCGTGTGCGACTCTGATGCAGATCCCACCAAAGTCTGATGGGCCTCCTTCTCAGAAGTGCCAGCTTGAAATGTGCTGCGGACGGCCATCTCAATGGGACGAAGTATCCGCATTTTCGTGGACCTTGCCGAGAGTCTCTTCTGAAAATGCTCCAAAGATGGGTCTCCTGATTGCAACACTTGTTCCAAGCGGTTCTTGACGACGTCCTCAACGGCACCCTCGATGATAGATGTGCCACTCAGTCTGGCTTCTTCGAGCTTTGAAGCATCCACGATCACTCCGGGATCCGAGAATCTCTTGGCCTTGGCTAGCGTCTTGTGTATATGCCCCACAGCCATGTCGTGGAACCGGTGCTTGGCCGACTGTGCAGCTTCTTCCATTTCCTTCATGCAAGGAGGCTTTGGGGCTGCCTCGTCTGTGAAGACAGGCGGGAAGGCCGCTCTCGGGTCCTCACGGAACACCAACACGAGAGCTTCCAGGTGGCGCCTGACTTCACTTCGGAGGATCTTGTCGTCAAGGTTGAGACGGACCTGTTCAGGCGAGAGTACAATCATCCCTGATGAGTTGTCTGGAAGATGGCGTGCTTTCCTCTCCACATGCTTGCGGATGATCAAACGACCGCGGGCGATGGCTCGCTTGCGAAGCGCTTTGCTGTCCACGAGTTCGAAGCGGGAAAAAGACTTCTCGATTTTGTCTGTGAGTGGGGGAATGGCTATTTTCTCGAAGTCGGCAATCGTGACACGCGTCATGACACGCAGCGTGCGTTTCAGACCATAGTCTATCACGAGACGGGGTGATATCTCACGCGACGTCTTGTCGATTCTGTCGAACTGCTAGATCGACGGAGTGGCAGCGTCGGTGGTGACAATCAGGCCTCCGAAAGCCTTGTCCAATATGCATTGTTCTGCCCAAGTCTGGAAGTCCGGGTTGTCTGGGTTGTGCAAGGAGCCAAAGGTATCGAACATCCATCTGTTCAGCTCTGGGGAGTGGCGTGGATACTGTGCGGAAGCTTGCCAGTCCCGAGAAATCCAACCAAGAAAGGGGCAAAGTCTGACGATGTTGTATCTTCTCCAAGGATGCGGCGGCTTGGAGTAGTAAGTAAAGGCTGCCTGCGGTTCTCTGGCGATAGAGTCGACGACTGATGTCCGCCATCCGACAAGGGCAACCCGTGGCGAGTCGAGAATGGTGTTGCCGTTGCGCATGGAGACTATGACACTCCTCGGGTGAATGTCTCCATGGGTGATGCCCGCGAACTCTTGTTGCATGTTTCCCCCAAGAAGCTTTGCCATCACATCCATTCGGGTTGCCTCGTCGGTATCGAAGGATGCAGGGGTATCGGTATCCTCGTAAAGCTGGACAGAAGATGCGCGAGGTCTCTCCATGGGGGTGAAAAGCTTGTCCAGTTGGATGCCATCAATGTACTCCAAAGCAAGCACTCCCACATGTTACGGTCAGCTATCCGACAGTAGGGTCTGCTAACAGAAGCTGGGGATTGATACGTTCTAACGGTATACTAGGTCGTGGTCGTAGGTCGTAGTTCGTAGGCTGTAGTAGATTGGTTCTTCAGAGGCTAAGGTGATCAGTCTTAGACTCAATAAGTGATTCGCAGTGAAGGTAAGCTGAGAGTATCCGTGAGGATGAATACTAAGTTGATTGCTGAAGAGCTATGGAAGTCTGACCATAAGCCAGGCTCAGGGTCATACTATATATAAGTTCTGAACAGTACCCTTTACTCTATCACTGATCCCTTACCAGGTACCAGTGAGCGCTCATTGACTGTTGGTGAGCGCTCAGTAGCTTCGACTGAGCGCTCAGTGATCCACACTGCCTGCTCAGTCTTATCTTATCATCACGTGACTTATACTATAGTTCTTCCGTCTCTGAGTGAGTCCCTGTTGTTCCTATGATCCTGCAGTATAAATGTCCTGTCCTAGCCGCCCGACGCCTGAGTAGGTTGTTCAGCTGTTATCCTTATTTACAGGTTGTAACATCAGGTCCCCTCTCTAAAGGTCTTGTCCTCAAGACCTAACATAAGTAGGTCGTTAGTCCTAGGTTGGGGATCTGTCAATTATGCTTCCTGATTTACTTATAATGCTGATATTATGTCAGGTTGCGTTCCTGAAAATCCTGCGATTTCTACTCTTCGTCGTTATCGTCGTTCCCTCAATATTGCGGAGAACGGGTTTGAAGTCATGCCTTATCGTTGCTGTCAGTCTAAGGGGTTGCGCTGTAAAATGCTGCCTGGCTCCTTGGTTTGCAGAGAGTGTGTCGCTATGGGCGGCACTCGTCGTTCGTGCAATGCTTCTGACGATACGATCTGTTAATATTTATGTAGTCCCTGAGGCCTGTTATGTTTTATTCATACTAACTTATATGTAGTAGAACGTTTGATAGTTGAATCTCAGCGTCTGGATGATGAGGAGGAAGAAACCGAGGAACTGTTTCGAAAGAGAATAGAGGTGCTGCAAAAGGCGCAGGCCGAAGTGAATGAGGCGCTTGCGAAACTGGATTATGTCCGCAAGGCTAAGCGAATAGTGTTCAAAAAGGGTCGCAAGGAGACTTTGGTGGTGGCTGAAGAGGAGGGGGTAGCGAATCCTTCCCCTGTCGAGCCTTCCTTGGTTCTTGAGGCGTAATCGATAGGCGCTTTTGGTGCGATAGACCTAGATACCATCCTTAGCGATTAGAATCCAGGCACTCCAAACTTCTTGTTGGAGGCGTCTTAGTTGATTTCTGGTGTCCCTAGGCGGATAAATAGTTTTCCTTATCGCAGCCGATCTACTTCAGTAGGTGGTCTGGTGAAGTGATGTGGGTGCTTAATCTGCTTATATCTACTATTCTTTTGGGCTAGTATAACAGGTGCTAGTGTGACTTCTCGCTCTTAGTGTTGTTGCCAGTAGATTGTGAGTTCTTCTGCTGCGTTAGTGATGTTTTTGGCTGGTTCCTATGTGTTGTCTTTATGTCTGTATCCTTTCTATTTGACGAGGTATTAATACCCTTCTGGTTCTTTGAGATAGTTGATAATTCGTTCGACTTCATACTCTGGTTTATTGTCTTCGACGATAATAATATTATTTGTCTGTGATCCACGTAGTGCTGGTTTGAGGAGTGAGATATAGAATACTAAGTGACACTTCATGCTTTCTAGGAGTCCTAGTTCGTAGTTAACTGGTGAGATTACTCGTGAAATTTTAAAAGGTCTGAGTTTTTTATAGTTAAGTTTGTCGTTTGGTCGCTTTGTTTTGATGTTTCGCCGTATAAGATAGGCGCTATCTCCCTCTTTTAAGGTTGGTCCCTCAATCCTTCGTTTGTTGCTGAATTTTGTTATTCTTTGTCGTACGAATTTGAGTTCTTTGCGTGCGTTTTCCTGGATATCCTTGATTTAGCGTATTGAGGCGACAGCTTTTACTGCAGCTGGGCCTGTTTAGGGTTCTCTATAGGCGGTTGGTTTGAATCTGTAGTTAAGGTAGAAGGGGGATTCCTTAGTACTTTCTCCTACTGCGCTGTTATAGGCGAACTAGGCTATTAGTAGCAATATAACCTAATTATCTTAGTTGTAGTTAACATAGGCGTGGAGATATGTTTTGAGGATTTGGTTAATTTATTCTGTTTGTCCGTCGGTTTGCAGGTGGAATGCAGTGGATATTAATTGTTTAATGCTGAGTTGTGATGTGATTGACTTCCAGAATTTGGAAGTGAAGATCTTATCTCTGTCTGATATAATCTCTCTGGGCGTTCTGTGGTTAGTAATAATATATTTAAGAAATATATAGGCATATTCTTCGGCGTTACTTGCTTCTTTATATGGAATAAAGTAGGCGTAATTTGTGAGTCGGTCCATAATGATAAGAATGCTGTCAAAGTGTGTTCCCATAAGGGGTTCTTGAGACTTTAGTAATTTGACGATAAAGTCGAGGGATATGGATTGCCAGGCTGTTTGCAGCACAGGCAAGGGTTGTAGCATACCATAAGGTTGATGTTGAGCGGGTTTGCTTTTGAGGCAGGCCTCATAATCCTTAATTGCTTTTGCCACTTGTTCTCTAGTGACCTTTTCTCTATATTGTTGTCGTAGTTATTTCTAGGTTTTCGTGATTCCTTGGTGACCATATGCAGGGCGAGCATGAAACTCCATAATTGC